TAGCTGTGTGATCAGTCGCCTCCCGTGTATATCCTGGATAATAATCGTAGGTACTTGCTGGAGCTGGGGTTTACCTGAAGCATATGAAGCCCTTGGCATTGTTTGTGGCACACAGTTAATACCCACTCTTGCTGTTGGATGGAGGGCAGGAGTCATTTGCCCAAGCCCACCCTGCCAATGAGAAGCAAACCTGGGACGGAGTCCCGGGCTCCTTGAGGACTGTCCAGCCGCGTTTTCTCCCTCCAGGGCCAATGCCTCGGGCTCTGAGCGCTCCAGCAGCGCGGCCACCGAAAATGCGGCTCCCTGCACAAACTGCTCCGCGCCACCGGCGGCTTAGCTAATGCCTGTTGTCTTTGGGGCGGCTAGGGCCCTCTAATTTACTTTTTCGCCGCTGAGAGCCTGGCGGTGGAGACTGCACCCCGGGGTGGGCTGAGATCTGGAGAAGCTGGACTCCTAGCAGCGGCCGGGAGGCGTGGTGAAGGCGGGTGCCATGGGGCGAGGGGCCACTACCCGGCCTCCAGCCTCCAGGCAGCCCTGCGGGCAGGCGTGGCGCGGCCCGCAGCCGTGCTCGGGGGCACGGCGGGTGGCAGCTTGCACCTGGCCCTGGGAGGGGTCGGTAGGACGCGCCCCAGTAGCCGTGCAGGCCCCGCCCCGGCCCCGCCCTCCAGGACGTCCCGTCGGGAAACCCGCGCGCTTCTTAGCGGCGGTGCGGCGGCTCTGCTTTGGCGCGACAGGTAAGCTGCAGAAGCAGCCCGCGACCCTCCCCGGCCCCCGCGACCCTCTCCCTGACTTGGAACCCAGAACTCTTCCGCTTCTCGGGACTTCCCTTCAGTCGAGCTCGCTTCTGCCAAGTCCTTGCTCTCTGCCGACCTTCACCTCTTCCTCCTCGCCGCCTCCTCTTCCTCCTCACCACCTCCTCCCGCAGTGAAGTGAAGCGGGTAGGCCAGACTGGTCCTAATCTGTTGTGGCGGCCTCTAGCTCCTCCCTCGGCGGGACCCCTGTCCGCCTTTAAGCATTCTTTAGAGGATGGATGAAAGAAAAGCTCAGACCTCTGGGACTTGGAGGGGTGGGGTGGGAGAGGGACAAGCCACAGCATCCCCTCCAGGGCTGTGCTCCTCTCCCCTTCACCCACCCATGCCGCCGCATTCCTTCTGTGCTCCTCTGCCAGGTTGGGCCACCTCATGTGCCCTGCTACAGAAAATCTTTCCGAGAGGTTCCCTGCCTGCCGCCAGTGCCACGTTGCTCTTGAGCAGAAAGGGCAAGCTAAGAGAAGCCTCCTGGTGGGGGTGGGCCTCGGAGTTGCTCTCCCTGGAGGTTTGGGCCTTTTGCAGGTGGGAGCTGTGTGGTATTGTGGGGAGGGAGTCTTATGGGTGTTCGTGACTGGCTGTCACCAACTTCCCGATTTCCCCCTGTCACTTGTTCCGAGCCCTAGGCTAACCAAAAGGAGAAACAGTTTACTCGCCCCCAGAGCCCGTCATCCCAGACCCTGACCTCTGTGGAGAGTAAGTAGGACAGGTCCTGTGTGTTGGGAGGGGGGGGGGAGTCAGTTTGCCAGCAAAGCTTAGAACAGACCCCCTCTATTAGCCAACAACCCCTTGCAACAGTCCCAAGAAGGGTTTTGATGCTGTGCTTAGTGCACCCCAGACCCCCAGAGGTTAACTCTGAACACACCAAAGGACCCGGGATTTGTGCTGGTTTTACCAGAGATGTGTGTGTACTACCCAGGCCCTGTTCTCCTCGCTAACAGATGAGCTGTGTCCCTGCCCATCACAGGAAGGGTAAAAAAAAAGATCAGCCAGGCAAATTCATACGATGAATAGTATGTACTTAGGTGAAGCATTTGAAATATACTTTGATTCAAATTATCCAGCAGAAGTCAGTATCATTGTAGGTACTTCCCTAGCTCCTGGTTCTCAACAATGCCATTTAATTTAGGCATCCAAAGGTAACACGAAAAAAACACTTTCAGGGGCACCAGGGCAGAAAACAGGACAGGACTGTCAAAGGGAAAAAGTAGTCTGGAACTGGTGGAACCATGAAGGATACTGGGCTGCCCAAGATGGCCTCACCCTTGGTAATCACTGCCCACAGTTGGCAAGACATCTGCTTCCCACCCACAGCAGCATGGAAGAACTCAGGCATGAAAGGGGAGGGAGGCCCTGAGGCATGTCAGATGCCCTCTAAGGTCAGAAACATCTTAGCCCAAGTTCAGATGGGAGAAACCTGGACCAGCATGGGCTTAGTCCACGTAATCACTGCCTAGAACTGAAGTCAGAATAGGAGGGGCAGCTAACCCCAGGGCCAAGGGCCTTTTAATGCCGGGAGGCAGTGAGTATAATGGAGGCAGGCAGCTGACTCAGCCCTGTTGCTAATTTAGCTGTCTAACCTTGGTCAAATCACATAAACAATCCTTGTGTGGGGAGCAAATGAGAAGGTATATGTGAAAGGGCTTTGGCGAAGCCCTGAGCACCAGCCAAACACAAGGCAATGTAGTGTCAGGGTTAAGGCAGTGGGCTTTGGAGAGACCTGGTCCTGAGTGTAAATCCTGCTTCTGCTACTTCCTAGCTATGTGACCTTGGTCCAGTTACTTACCCTCCCTGTGCTTCAGTTTCCTCCTGTGTAAAATGGGGGAAGATTACTGTTCCTTGACTTGACCTGGTAAGTAGTAATTAAAATGGTGGTGATATTGTCCGAAACCTCCTCTGTCTCCCACGGACATGTTCCAACATCTCCAGGCCCAGAAATAAAGCTGAGGACCAGAGTGGGTGTCTCTGCACCAGGGGGACCCAGTGAATGGCTGTGCCAAAGACTTGGGTGAACTCTGCTCCTCATACAGCCCTCTGCCCCTCTCTGGAAAAGCCCACAATGTCCATTCTCATTTGATGGGAATGAGAGTGAGGATCTGAATAAAAGCGAGGTCAAGTGCAGGGCAGTGACTGTCTCTGTGTTGAGCTCAATGCTGTAATTGTGCTGTGTAAAAGGCTTGCGTAGTGAACAAGGATGAGTTCAGTCTGAGGAGAAAAAGGGCTGTTAGAAGACTCTTGTGGCACCTTGAGGGCCTGTGGGGTCAGGTTATTCTCCTACACCCTATGCAGCCTGGTCCTGAGCTCTAGGTAGAGATTTGAAGGAAGGAGGAAATCTAATCCTCACCCTCAGCTCTACATATAACAGAGAACAAAGGACAGACAGATGAGGGCAGTGGAATAGCATAACCACATACCTCAGGGCAGAGGGATACTACAGGGACTGGAAGACCAGGTAGATTGGTAGGGGAGAGCATTCCCGAGGCAGAAGATTGGGAACCAGGATTTAAGGATTGGGAAGGAGAAAGAAAACAGGACCTGGGTGGCCTAGTGTCTAGACCTTTCATTTCCCGTCCCCCTATAAAACGAAGTGGGGAAGTCCCACGTGGGGAAACATGGGTAGTGAAAAGTGGAAACAAATACACGTGGATACTGAGGGCAGTAAAATGCACCTTAGTATGAGAAGGCCTCTTGGAGGAGAGGAGTTTCAAGTTAATGTTTCGAAAGAGAAAAGAAACATGGCTTGCTTAGCAGGAATATAAAGGAAGGCTCTAAGAAGGAAAACAAAGCCGGTGAGGGTGAGGAGCAAACAGGGAGCATACTGCCCAGGCCATGTTTCTGCTGCAAATGGTGCTAGTGCTGGGCTAAAGTAAAATGAATATGGCTGTTCTGATTGTGAAAGGGAGAAAGAGGCCTGACGCACAGGAGGCTGGCAGGCAGCTTCTGCTTATCCTCCAGATGTTTGACGATAAGGGCACCGTCTCAGATGACGGTTTGAGTAGAGAGGGAGAGGAGGATCCTGGAGGCAGGGAATGAATCAGCAGGACTTGGGAGTGGGTGTGGTGTGAACCTGACATTGAGAAGGGATTCAAAGCTACACACACCCAGGAGTGGGGCAGGGGCAGGGGTTGTGTCAAGGATTTTGATACTGTTGCAGCAGTGGGGAAATTGGGAGGGCTGGCTACCCTAGGGGATGGCACAGACCCTAACTTCAGGGGGTGGCATGTTGAGGATCTGGTGGCCCTGAGTAGAAGGCCTACAGCCAGGAGCAGACTGTGGGCTGAGGGGAGACAGGAAAACTTCAGTTTTGCTGTCTCCCATCACTCCCACCCCAATCTGGAGACCAGCCCAAGCTTTCAGGAATACCCCTCCACTTAACCCCCCTCTTGCCCTTTCCCTCCACCCCCAACTGACAGATGATAAGACTCAGTTCAAGTTCCTTTTTTCTTTGCCTTCTCACACACCCAGCCTGTCACCAGGTTTTAGGGAATCCCACCTCATTCCCCACCTGAAGGTTCCTCCTTCATCCCTGAATTCCTAGGAGCCAGTCTCAAGGCTCAGTTTGAGAAGAGTTGCACATCCCTGTCCCACTTCGCAGGGCCTGGAAGAAACTCCAGTAAAAACCTGTGAACTGTTGAACTTCTTGTTTGGTTACATATTATGTTGATTTTTCAGGGACTTTTATAAATTTGGAATGAATCAATAAACATTTACTGAGTGCCTGCTATGTGCCAAGCACTGTTCTAGGTATACAATGTGAGCAAACTTGGGTTGGTTTTTTTTCAATTGACAATCTGTTTGGGTAACTTAAGCTTAAAATGTTATGCAAACATAAAATGAACCTAGATATGCTGGGGAAAGAACTTGATAGACTATCTACAGAAATAACTTTCAGTGCATCTTTCTGCGAAAATAAGCTACAACACTCCAGCTTTAGTCTTGGAGAAAGCTGAAGTGTCTTTTAAAGGTGTAATTATGGAGAAAAGTGAAAACCTCCCAGCCTTCTGTAATCAGAAGGGTCAGGGTTGGGAGGAGGGATTTAGAGGGGATCATTTGCTTCTTAGTTCACATCATGAGAACAGAGGAAGTGAAATGAGCGCCCTGTTTGATGGAGGGGAAGAAAGGGAGAATTATTTGGCCAAAACAGCTTCTTGGCCCCCTCCCCCCGACCAGTAGCTTGAAATTGACCTCTCCCCTCCCTAGTATGATGTCCAGCTCCACACACCTGCACCCTGGGTAAGAGTGGCAACAGCCTTCTCTTTTCGAAGAAACCTGTAATTGAGCTTTAGTCTGACTAACTTGAGCAAACATCCCCGTGGCAGTGTCTTACTTCCTGGCTGCCACGTCTCCCGGAGGTGAGTAACTCAGCTGATAAACAGAAAGAAACTTTGTTACAAAGAGGCCACCTGGCCACCAAGGGTGTGTCATGGGTGGCTAACCTTGACTTGCACAAAAACTGTCCGGGACTTCTATTTTCGGCATCTTGAAAGCATTTGTAGTCCTGAGTGGGGGGGGGGGGGGGGGTCTAAGAATGGAGTTGGGACACTCAGGAAAACAGCCCTGCTGCAGACTCAGGAGAGCCAAACCCAGTCTCCACGTTCCCCAGGGAACCTATAGGGGATAGGTACGAGTGCAGGAACAAAAAAGTGGCCTGGGAGTTGGGAAGTCAGCATCTGCTCCTGGGAGCCACAATCTGAGGGACCATAGAGACGTCACCTAACCACTCTGGCCCCACCTGTACAATGAGGGTGCCGGACCACAGACAGGCCTAGTCAGAGTGGCATGGTCACGTGTAACAACAGAATATCGTGGAACTGCAATGCTTGTTGGAGTGAGTATGCACAGAACATTTAGCGAAGCCAGTGCCTACCCTTATCTCTTTAACCCCTCTTGCCTCATCTCATTTAACAAGAGCTTAGGGAATACTTCCTACTTTGCTAGCGATAAAAAAGCCGAAAACAGCCTGGCTTCTCTGATCCAGGAGTTCAGAGGTGTGAGAGAGAACGAACGCCTCTGACACAGGGAGGGTTGTGATGGGGCAAGGGTCCAAGAATAAACAGTGTGCCATGGGAGCAAGACAAGGGAGAGATGCATTCTGCTAGAGATCTAAGAAAGCATCTTGGGGAGCTAGGATGTAAAAAGCGGGGATTGGACTGTGTCATTGGCCTTCATATTTCTATGACTGGACCAAAGCAAGGGACATTTTACAACAAAATTTCATTCCCATTCAACATGTGACAGGGGATCACAAAAGCAGTTTTACACTCTAATTCAGTGGTTCTCAACCTGTGGGGCGCGACCCCTTTGGGGGTCGAATGACCCTTTCACCGGGTAGGGTACTCAGTATGTGGGCGTATCTGCATGTGGGCCTGGAGACGGATAGAGGAGCGGTGTCTCGGTCCCTAAGACCATCGAAAATATGTGTTTTCCGATGGTCTTAGGCGATCCCTGTGAAAGGTTGAGAACCGCTGCTCTAATTACATCAGAGGTATGAATTCTACAAACTAAAAAACAAAAAAATCATTTGAAAATGTAATACCTTCAATTTCTTTTACCTTTATGAATTTTGAATAACAAATTTTTCATTTTAAGTTTGTATCAGGGAACGTTTATCATCTTTAATGGACTGAGACATTTAAAATAAAATTTCATTATTCAAAATTCATAAAACTCAATAAGGTAAAAGAAGTTCCACATTTTCAAATGATATCCTTTGTAAGTCTGTAGCATGTATACTTCTGAAATTATTAAAGCTTCAAACTGTATTAAGCTTTTGGTACACTCTGTATAGGTATCTATAACTGAAATGAAATTTTAACAAAACAATACCTGTATTACATGTGACATACTTCGGTATTTTCTTTTTTGTTTTATTCTGATTTTTTTTAAAGAATTTTTTTTTCATGCTGATTTGCAGCGCTTTACATTTATTTCACAATCCTGTAGTGGGTTTGAGAGACACTGAGCTGAGTGGAAGCCTCAGTTCCCTTAGAACTGTGAGAGAAGGTGAACTTGTATGCTGGCATCATCTCAGTACATGTGTTGCAATCCCAAGGGTGCCTGGAGGCAAAGGAGTTGGATATGAGAGCTCAGTAGCAGCAGGAGGGGAATGAATGGATGAGGGCTGTGCTCACACTTGCCAGCCATACTGTGGGAACCCAAAGGTGAGAGAGCTACATGAGGCAATGCAGGGAGGATCCTGTGAAGCCCTCCCTGCACTGGACAAAGTACTACATACAAGAGGGACTATTCCTTCACCAAGGATAGTGGAGGGGTGACCTCCCTGACCTTGTTAATAACCACACTTCTGAGAATCATCTCCTACACAGAGAGAGCGGGAATCCTTAACCCCAGTCTTCTGGCTTCCATCAAATTATGTCTTCTAAATGGCTCTTTCCTGTCACCTAAATGCTAAGCAAACAAAATAGAGACTGAGTTTTACTGCCAAGGCTAATCACATGTGTCTCCTTTCTTTCAGGATGTGGTTAGTACCTTGAGGAATTGCAAGCTCCAGAGAGAAAGCCTTAGACAACCAGGTTGGATTGAGAGTGCAGACACCTAGGACGGGCTCGATTTAACCCTAGGTCAGTTTCTCCAGAGGAAACAAAAGGAATAAAGGCAAACCCCACTTCAAGAGACCACAACGCAATGCCAGGACGAGGGAGTTGAAGTGACCTGTGTGATTCTAAGTGGCTCAGGGAAGCCTTCCTGGAGGAGGTGAGTCTTAAGCACTTGGCAGCGGCTGGTAACTAAGCTGTTCCCAAAGCTTTGTTTCTACCTGTGTTCCCTCTTTCTCGCTGGAGTGGGAAGGTAGACAGAAAGTATCGGGAGATGCAGCCTGCAGGATGGCTCAACATTGTCATGGCAAACACTTCCCCATTCTGCAGGGCAGCTTGTGCTTAGCTGGGGCAGTTCCAGGATTTATGAGGTATCTCACTCAAGCAGAACTTGTGCTGGCCCAGCATAGCTCAACCCCTGACGCAGGAAACTGCCTCTACACTGAATTCCCATTTCCTCCTTGAAGCCATCTTCAAGCCCACGGGGAACTCTGCCTTTCTCAGCTTGACACTTACTGTCTGTGCTATTAAGTTTTAATTTTATTAATTTTTGAATAGGTAATAGAGTGAGGTTCAAAGTACCCAAGGGTATTAAGTGAAAGATCTTTTTCCTGCTCCTGTCCCCTCCCTAGACGGGTGCTGCCTGGACCCAGTGCTACCAGTTCTTTTTCTCCAATTCGATTTTAAAATGCCATGAGGAAAGGAATTGTCTCATACCTCTGCATCCCAGCCGGAGTGAACTCTCCCATCCCATCCCCCAGGGGAGTTTTACTAGCATCACATTCTCCTTCCTCCGTCAGCTCTGCTGCTATCTTGGGTCAGAACCCTCCCAAGCCCCTCTTAACTGGCCATCCAGCTGTCAATCAAGTCTGTTCTCTCCACCAGCTATCATACTGTTCTTCCTGTATTCTGGTCTCCCCACTAATTCTTTACTGCTCCCCATACCCCAGGTCAACGGCAAACTCCTTGGCGTGATGATTTGGTTGCAGCTGCCTCTCCAGGCCCATCCTCTGCTACTCCCATCAGACTTCATACTCCCACCATCCCAATCTACTTGCTGTTCTCTGATTGGCTATGCTGTCTCCTTCCTCTAAGCCTCTGTCTGTGCTCACCTCACCAGGCCAACTCCTACTTGCGGGTTAGTGCTCAGCCCAAGCTCCTCCCCCTGCAGGACCTCTTCACAAATGTCTCCCTCCCCCACTGGCTGAGTTTTCTGCATCCTCTCCCTCAGCACGCAAGTGTGCCTCTCGCGTGCCCTCTTCTCACTGGGTGATCTCTGTTTAAAATCTGACTTCCCATTTGACTGTATGCTCCTTGAAGGCTGGGCTTCCTCATACAGAGATACATCTCTGTATCTCCCCATCCGGCAGAGTACCTGATATAAAGCAGCTACCCAGTCAATACTGGCCGAATGAACAGATCTCATCTCCCATCTCCTAGACAATCTCTAATACACAATAGACACTCAAACAGACTTCTTTTTATTTGATTTTTGATGCAATTAGTGAGTCTGATGTTATAAAAGAAAACCACCTGTCTCCGAACCCAGAAGGGCCGCTGGTCCCCCTTGAGATCATGAAGGCCACATATTCCCCAGATCTAAGTGACCCTGGGTACCAGGCTTCTCCACAGGCAAGAGCTTGTGTGTTTAAGTAACAGCATTACATAGCTCAGCTGGAGTTACTTTTAAGCAAGACATGCCATGGGGTAATGAGTGTGGCTTTGGCCAGGGACCAGGTGCTTGAGGGTAATTGCTAGAAAGCTGAGCAGGGATTTATTAATTATAATAATAGAAATAATTGATACCATTTATTGAGGGTTTAGTATGTGCCAGCACTCTGCCCAGGATTTTACACACATTATCTATGATTTAATCCTCACCACAAATCTGTGATTTAAGTATCAGTTACCCCCACTTTATAGATGAGGAAATTGAGGCTTAGAGAGATTATGTAATTTGTCCAGGGGTCACACAGCCACTGATGATAATAACCACCACCTTTTCAGAACTTACTGTGTGTAGAGACTGCTAAGCTTTTTCCATGAATTATTTTCATTGAACTTATTAATCCTTATAACAACCCTAGGAAGTAGGTGCTTTTATTACTAGAAGGGACAGAACTGGGATTTGTGCTCAGGACTATTGCCACCAATATCTGGTGCTTGGCAAGGGAGCCTTATGCTTCCAGAGTTCTCCACAGGAAGTTTTGCAAACATTCACCCTGAGCCATGGGACCACGTGCTTGGGGATATAGCTGAAGAACACCCAAGCTCAGTCCTGCCTGGAAGGTGTTGTCATAGAATCTTAGATAAATATGAGTAGATATGGAAGAATATTTACAAACAATGTTTAAGGTATAAAGAATAACAGTACCAACAGCGGCCACCATCCACTTTACTTTGAAGCCCCCTGTGCGTCGATTCCCTTTCCTCCCTCTTCAGAAATTTTGGTTTCATCATTCCTTTAGTTTTCTTTGTAGCTTTACCACATATTCATTTTTGTATTCCTGAACAATATTTTGTATTCATTTTTGTTTTTATAAACTACGTATTGTTTAGTTTTACAATTTTCTATGAATGGAATCATACTATATGTATCCTTCAGCAACTTGCTTTTTTTTTTAAAGATTTTATTGGGGAATTGGGGAATTGGGGAACAGCCAAGTTGTTGTCCTTCAATCTTAGTTGTTGAGGGCGCAGCTAGCTCAGCTCCAAGTCCAGTCTCCATCCGGCCGCCTGTTGGTAGCTCGTGGCTGCTCAGCTCAAGGTGCCATGTTCAATCTTAGTTGCAGGTGGGCATAGCCCACTATCCCATACGGGAGTCAAACAGGCAACCTTGTTGTTAGGAGCACGTGCTCTCATCAGCTGAGCCATCCTGCCACCTGTTGGCAGCTTAGTGGCAGGTCAGCTCAGGCACAGCTCACTGGCCTGTGTGGGAATTGAACCGGTGACCCTGTTGCTCAGAGCTCGTGCTCTTAACCAACTGAGCCACTGGGCTGGCCCCGGCAACTTGCTTTGTTCACTCAGCATTACATCCGTGTTGTTGCATGTAGAAGTGGCTCATTCTTTGTCACAGCTGTAGAGTACCCTGTGATATGGGCATACTTTACACTCTAGTTATCCTGCGGATGGACATGTGGATTGCTGCTATTTGTCCCATTTTCGTCAGTGCTACCAGAAACATTCTTGTACGTGCCTCCTGGCTCACATGCACTGGAATTTGTCTGGACTATAAAACTAGGAGTGGAATTGGGGCACCATAGGGTGTGTGTGTTTTAAATTTTACTTGATAATGCTAAATTGTGTCCCAAAGATAATGCTAAATTATGCCAATTAAATATCTTCATGTAGAGTTTCAGTGTTATGGTTATTCTACAATAGATCCCTTAATGTCAGAACCTTAGGGCAGGAGAGAAACACTGAGTCCAGTCTCCTCATTTTGTGGATGGAGGAAATTTAGGCACAGGCAAGTTAAGGCACTAGGCTAAAGTGATGTCACCATTCGGCAATAGAGCCTGAACTTGAACCCTGAACCCCAAGCCCCCTGACTCCCTCCTCACCCCTGCCTTGGCTTATTTCTCTCCCTCATCTCCTCTCTTCTCAGGCTGAGGCCCTACGGTGTGGCCACCACGGCATATCAAGCTATTTCCAGGCTCCGGCCCAGCCCTCAAGCTGACCTAGCTGGAGTCCCCACTGGTTCCACAGGATGAGGCTCCTCCGCAGACGCCACATGCCCCTGCGCCTGGCCATGGTGGGCAGCGCCTTTGTGCTCTTTCTCTTCATCCTGCAGAGGGATGTCAGCAGCAGGGAACAGGCCACAGAGAAACCATGGCTGAAGTCCTTGGTGAGTCAGAAGGATCACGTCCTGGACCTCATGCTGGGGGCTGTGAACAACCTGAAGGACTCAATACCCAAGCTCCAGATCAGGGCTCCGGAGCCCCAGGAGACACTGGTCCCCACAAAGCAGCCCTGCCTCCCCGGGTTCTATTCCCCAGCTGAGCTGAAGCCCTACTGGGAACGGCCACCGCAGGACCCCAACAGCCCTGGGGCAGACGGGAAAGCATTTCAGAAGAACAAGTGGACTACCCTGGAGACCCAGGAAAAGGAAGAGGGCTATAAGAAGCACTGCTTCAATGCCTTTGCCAGTGACCGGATCTCCCTGCAGAGGGCCCTGGGGCCAGACACCCGACCCCCTGAGTAAGTAGCACCCAGAATCCTGGGGTGAGTCTAGGGCTCTGCCAAGGGCTGGTAAGGCCGTGGCCACAGGTAAAGAGCTAATGGGGATTTTAGAATGTAGGCAAGGATTTCCTCTAAACATTCACTCCTTTTCCTGACCAGTTGCCCTTATCCCGGGGGTTAGGGTTCAAGAGTATTATGGTCAAGCCAGAGGCCCAGGGACACCTGTGAGAGTGAAACACAATTATGAAGGCGACAAGATTTTTTTTTATTAAAAAGGAACTCAAGGCCTGGGACCAGGACCTGGCTGGCATAGGGGAGACTGAGAGGGACTGATTCCAGACCACAGACTCAGTGGCCTTGGCCTCTGCTGAGGCCGCCCTAGAAACTGTGGGACTCTACTGCTGAGCTGCTGGGAAAGGGACTTTTCCTAACAGTGGCCCTGGTGGTCAGGACTGTCACCATGCCTCCTGATTTCCTTCCCCCCGTGAAGGCCCACAGGACCATGAATTCATTCCAACCTTTATTTGAAACTGTTTATACTTTTTTAAAATTTTATTTTATTGGGGAACAGTATGTTTTTCCAGGACCCATCAGCTCCAAGTCAAGTAGTTGTTTCCATCTAGTTGTGGAGGGCATAAACTCAGTGGCGCATGTAGGGATCGAACCGGCAACCTTGGTGTTATGAGCACTGCGCTCTAACCAACTGACCTAACCGGCCGCCCTGAAACTGTTACTACTTTTAATCCTGGGCAATGAACCAGCACTCAGATCTTTGAGCTATAAGCCACCTCACTCTCACGTGGCCATAGCTGTGTTCACATTCTCCTCAAGTCAAAGATTTTTGTGTCTTTCTCATTTAGACCTGTCTTTCCCAACTCAAGAATTAGACCCTTTTTGGCCTTTGGTCACATGGTAGCCCCATCCCCAAATTCATGATTTTTTTAGAGCTGTGAGCCCAGGGTTCCTCAGACATGGACCGAGTATTGTAGTCCTAGAAGGTGGAGCCACTAGGAGTTGTCAGGAGCTCTCAGCAGGGAAAGCCTTTGGGCCATGAGAGCAGCCAGTGGAGGAAGTTTGGGAGTCTCCTCTGCAGGGTCTATGAGAAATCTTTCTGATCAGCAGAGGGGATAAGAAAGGATGTCAGGCTGCATGATTTCTTGAGATCCAGGATTCACACATTCCCACTTCCACTGGCGATAGAGTGTCATGAGAGTGGCTGCATGGCCATGTGCTACAGAGTGGTTGGAGTGGGTGAGGACAGAGAAAAGGTCACAGGAAATTGATTGTGATACTAGTGTCAGATTACAGGGGATTCATGAAGAAATGGACTAGAGAAGAACTGTAAAGTGTAATGAGAAGAGTATGGAAATTGTAGTCACTTTTCTCAGATGTCAGATTTGCCCTTTATTACTTCCCCTCTGGGACCTCTAGACTGGATTACACTTTATGCTGTACACATATTTCTGAGGAATAGAGAGAGCCAGCCATGGGAACTCCTAGAGCAGATGAGAGAGGTGAGGGAGCAGCCCCCAGCATGACTGCTGGGGCACCAGCCAGCTCTAGGGGAAACCGTCTGTGGAGTGGGTTGGCTAGGACCTGTGCAGAGGCTCAGCATAGGGGGCAAATATAGCATATGCCGGGAACAGGGAGCAGCTATTCCCAGCTGCACCAGAGAATATAGGCTGGTGGTTCCAAGGAGTGGAGGGGTGGCTATGAGAATCTTCACAGAGCCCTCCCCAGCCCTGGAACTCCGAGGGACCTGGAGAACTGTATCTACACTTTCATCCCTCCAGATGTGTCGACCAGAAGTTTCGGCGCTGCCCCACACTGTCCACCACCAGCGTCATCATTGTGTTTCACAATGAAGCCTGGTCCACGCTGCTGCGAACAGTGTACAGTGTCCTACATACCACCCCCGCCATCCTGCTGAAGGAAATCATACTGGTGGATGATGCCAGCACTGAGGGTAAGGCTGGAGGAGGCCCTGAGGAGGGGGGCAGCGTCTCACCGGTAGTCTGGGAAGGAGGGCAGGTTCTCGCGAGGGAACAGGCACCCTCACTGCCTGCTGCCGGGCATCACGGCTCATCATGAAGTCCAGGAGCAGGAAGAAGGCTGGTGAGGGACCGGCATATGGGAGACAGGAGGCAGGGAGACCACGTTCCTAGAGCCTGGACTTCACACAAAGAGCTCCAAAAGCGTAGAAGTTCTAGCTTCTGAGACTTTCGGAGAGCTGCCAAGCCCAACCCCAAGTCCCATGCTGGGGGAGAGGTGAGGGCAGGGGGTGGGCACGGGCCTTCCCTCTGCTTTTTACCTGCTAGGCCTCGTTACTGCTTTGAAAGATTTCACTTCAAAAGCCCTCTCTGCTGGAGTTGGTAATAGGCAAGACAGGTTGCTCACCAAATTTCCACCCTCACCCTTTAAAGCAATTCCATAGGCATCTACCGAGTTACTGAGTACTCTGTGTCTAGCACTGACCTAGACATAGGGGATACCATGACAAACAACAAATGAGACAGACCTTGTCCTGAAAAAGCTAACAATCCTCATGGGTCAGATGGTCCCTTTCAACACCAACCACAGCAGTGTGACCCATGACACATCCTTAACGGTTGTGAAAGGGTATGGCTGAGAGGCCAACACCCAGAAATTCAAATCCTAGTTTTGCCTGTTCCTAACTCTGTGGCCTTGGGGAACATACTGAGCCTCAGCTTCCTCTTCTGAAAAAATGAAGACAATTGACTCCCTCACATGCTGGACCGGGGATCAGAGATAGATGATAAATGAGATAATTCGTGTGACACAGTACTTGGCATGGAGTATGAGCTCCATAGCATTCGTTTCCGTTTACTCTGTGTATGGGAACAGTGCACTCTGGGAGTTCGTAGCCCGAGGTCGTCCACAGTGGAGGCCAGACTGGAGCTGGGCCTTAAAACGTGAGTGTCTAGGGAGAGAAGAGACGTTGAGGGCATTCCTAGAAGAGAGAATGGCATAGATGGAGTCCTAGAGACACAGGTGTGTTTGTGAAAATTTGAGAGGTTTGATGTGGCTGAAGCTTAGGTTAGCTGTGGAAAACGACACTAAAAAGGTGTTGAACTGAAATTCATGCCATGCCGAAAGAATTTATTGAGAAAAAAAATGAGTCATTGAAAGCGTTTAAGCTGGAGAGTGACTTTGTCTCAGAAGGTTGGCAGTTTGGGGGAGGGCGATTATCAGGAAGAGAGGCAGAGGATCCCGAGTCCGAAGAGGAGGCTCTTATACTCACCTGAGAGTGGGAAGACAGGGCCCGAACTAGGAAAGGGGCTGTGGAAGAATCATCGTTAAGGTGGGAGTGTCTAGGGCTCTCCCGGGTTGGCCTCCTGCACCCACGCTCCCGTATGGAGCACAGGAACTGACACCACACTTCCCAGTGTTCGCCCTGGGGCCACTCCAGTAGAGCTGCCGCCTCTCCTGACCTTCCCCAGCCTCCCTCCTGCCACCTAGATTAGGGGTGATGCTAACAAGTGAACTAGGGCTGCGGAAGGCAGTGGAAGGAGGAGCTGAGTGTGAGCACTAGTGAGTCCGTTTCTTTGGGGAGCACACACTTCCCCAGGGAGGACAGACATCTAGCAGCACTTACAAAGCAAAAGCAAACAAGTATCGGGGATGCAGTGAGAGAGTGGGGGCCAAGGAGCATAAGGTTAGGCTTCTGGAAAGGGAGGGACACAGAGTTTGGCAGAGATGGGAGAGGCTTGAGAGTGGCCTCTTAGCAATGGAGTGGTTGTTATGGAACGAGAGCGAGAGTACCAGCTGCCCTCCCTTCCTATCAAACTGGGCTCTCTGGCAGCCCTTCTCCCCCAAACCTATGCTACCCATCCCTCAGAAGCTTCTTCCCTTGAATCATATAGGATGGAAGTTCTAAACCGTTTCTACGTGTCACCCAGAATTTTGTGAATCCATAAGGTACAAGTGCCCAGTTGGGCGACTCCTCTGACCAAGGTAGACAAGTGGCATAATGCCAGGCTGACACAGGCAGCACCTACAGGGCACAGCAGCCTGTGCCTAGTAGGGTGGACTTCGCAGCAGGCCCTGTAGCCCCGCCCAGGGGCCTGCCTCAGCAGGCGTTCTCTCTGGTTGTCTCTCCCTCGTTGCCCTGGACTCTCTGTTAGGGCCAATTCCAGCATCTCAGAATCACCTGCCTGAAAGACCTAAACCAGTCACTCTTATTTTTATGGATCCTGGCCTCCTTTGAGGACCTGTGGAAAGCTTTGCCTGTCTCCCTAGAATAGTGCAGAACTGCTGCAACAATGTGAACATGCCCACGTTTCTGCATGGAATGCCAGGGATTTTGTGGACCCTAGGATAAACAACCCCACGGTGAGGACTTCCGGACTCCTGAATACTTTCAGCAATGATTCAGTTCAGTGGGGAAAAGGACACAACTTAGACCCATGGTCAGAAATCTCTGCCGTCCACAGCGGGATAGAATTTCCCACACGGTTGACGGTTTGATCAGATTAACTGACTCTCATTACACACACACAGACAAGGGCTGTGTCTGTGCTGAAATACAATGTCCATGCTTTCTGTCCTCCGATCCAGGCACTTGGCAGTGCTCTATGACCACAAGTATACAGATATTTGATGCCAGTGTGGGGCAACGAGGCCCAGGAGCAGGCTGGGGAACTCTTTCTTACCTACCTCAAAGTCTGAACCCTGGGCACAGATTTCACTCTCGTGTGGCCAGGTCAGCTGCCAGGTCCACTCCTACATAGTCTGGCACACAAGCTTCGAAAAACTGGCCCCCCAGGCCCGTGGGCCTACTGTGCCCCAAATAGGGCATCCCCGTGTCAAAAGCCCTGCCCTGTCCCAGGAGAGACCGAGGAGGAGAGAAGTGAGGCCTCCCTCCTGTGGGAATTTGCTAGATGCATAGGAGGAAATCAGACACACACCCAGGACCCAGAGAGTCGAGAAGGGAACAGGACCCTCAGCGAGTAACCTCTTCATGGAGAGAGGAGGCGTGAGGAGTGGGGGCTGGCTGGGAAGGTAGTGCTATCGGAAGGGAAGGTAGAGGGATCAGCAGGTGCAGGGAGGAAAGAAGGGGCAGGAAACAAACTGAAACCCAGGGCAGGGGACATTTGGGGAGCATTTGGGATTAGCTGGCTACGTCATTGTTTGTATACCCCACACTTGATTATCCGTCTGTCCATGGACATGGGGGTCATTTCCACCTTCTGGTTATTGTGAAGTAATGATGCTCTCGACACTGGTGTATAAGTATTTGTTTGAGTCCCTGCTTTCAATTCTTACTGAGTATACACCCAGAAGTAGAATTGCTGGACGATGTGGTAATTCTACGTTTAATTTTTTTGAGGAACAACCATACTGTTTGGATTTGTTTTTAAGTGTAATTTTAAACCACTGTGGTGACATGATCTGTTTTATAATTTTACATGATAACTCTGCTGCTATGTCAAGAGTAGATTGGGAAGAGTGATGTAGAGTAGAGGCCAGGAAACCAGTTAAGGCATTATTGCTGGGGGTGACACTGGGGACAGAGAGAGAAAACGGGCAGTACTTGCTGAAGGACAAATCGCAAAAGATGAAAAAAGGGAAGAATCCTAGGTTAGAGCAGCTGGAGGGATGCGGGGACTGTGTTCCAACTTGGGGGAGCCTGGGGGTGCAGCTTCGGAGGAAATCTTGAGTTCTGTTTTGGGCCTGTTTGGTTTGTGGTTCTGTTAGGTGTCCAAGTGAAGATGGCGAGGTCAAGGGAAGAGAACTAGCAGCCATCGGCCTATGGATGAGACTGAGTGAGGCGTGTGTGTTGGAGGTCACAGGAGCTTCGTAGACTCCAGTCGTGAGGAATGAAGTTGGGCTGGGGTGCTAAACCTAAATTAGGAGGCTGTTGTCTGGGGGACATAAGAGAGCATGGATGTGCTTGTCTGTGTCGCCACACTCAGTTCTGCTATATCCAGCTCTGGGGCCTGTGTCCAGTGGGTCCAAGGGTGTGACAGGAAGACTGTCAGGAGGGGCATAGCTTAGGAGAGTTGTCTCACTCCCCTAGAAGGGCCTGCCCTCATGCTCAGAACCCCCAGGGAAGCCTAGCCACCTGAGCCTGCACGGAAGGGGTGGGAGAAAGGCCTTGTCGAGCTCAGGCCCCCGTGAGGTTCACAGCTCAGTGCTTTGCCGCCTCTTACCACAAAACCCACTTCCTATGATGCTTTGCCCCTGAGCTTCCTGTGAACACAGTTAAGCGTGTTCTCAGGGGAACATCAGCTACACCGAGATGGTGAGGCTCCTGGTTGTGGTTCCTCCCTCCTTCCTGTTAGAGCCGGCACTTGGGGCTATCACTGGATTATGACTCTGGGAGCTCCCTGAAGGCAGGACCCAGACCAGGTCCCTCCCTGCCCAGGATAGGGTCTGGCACCTGGGCAGCAAGTTAGCCAGTGTTTGCTAAGTGAGGGCTGTGCTGAAGAGGCCAAATGAGGCTAATTTGGACCCATGAACATTGGGGACAATACTCCTTATTTCATAGTGTTTTAATCTTCATAAAAAAGATGAACTAAGAAAGTCAACATGAAAGCACCTAACTCAATGACTGGCACATAGTAGGTGCTCAAGTATTTGGACATTGTGTGTGTGTGTGTGTGTGTGTGTGTG